TGAATTGCCTAGTTGTGATGCTATGCTCCATAGGATATCATGTGAAAATTCTATTGGTCACATCATGTTTGACAACCCCTTAAACTTGTCATATGCTATGAGTGAGATCTCCCATATTGCTTCATTTCAATCTCAACATAGTAACTATGCATGACCCATTAAAGTAAACCTCATTTGCACTTATGGCATAGATGACGAGATGATGGTCATTGGTTTTTGTTTCTCTTGTGATGATATTACCATGCTTCCTTTACATGATTTGCACAATTCATCTACTATGCCATGCCATGATCACATTGTTCCATATATGCTTCGTTTTGGATGTTGTCAATATTCTCCATGTGATGTTTCGACTAATGCTCATGAGGAGACCCCCATAGTTTCCTCATACTCCCTCCGTCCGAAAATAATTGTCATCAAAATGGATAGAAAGTGATGTATCTATAACTAATATACGTCTAGATACATTCCCTTCTATTCATTTTGATGACAAGTATTTCCGGACGGAGGGAGTACATATTAGGAGATTCTGATGCATTTGATACTTTGCATGATTCCCATAATTGCGTGCACCATATGCATTCCATGGATAACAATACTCTACATATTTCTCGTGATGTGTTACACAATTTGAGTCTCCATTATTCTATACATAACAACAAACCCATCAATATGGATGAAATGTTCCTATATCACGCATCTCATTTATTTGAGCATTGGATATTTGGTGCTAACCAACACAAGCACGTGCGCATCATGATGGATGATCTGTACATAAACCTTGCACACACCATTTTCCCTTTGCCTTTGTCTTGTGCAGGTATGTACTCATGTATACTCGTCAACCTCTCAATCCCAAGAGTTGGCGAAGCGAGCTCTTGATAGCAACGATGATTTGGGATCCCGTGGACTATACTTACCACCGTTGTCTTCGCGCAAGGACTACGCGCACCTCTTCTTCTTGGCTCTCACACGTCTATGGGCTATATACCACTTGTTACATTATGCCCATTTTATCGTGTTCACTTTGCATGTTATGCCTCTTTACATGACTTTGCCATGCAATTGTGACCCTTACTTGCACTTACATATGATTCACCATTCTACTACTTATATGTGTATTTGCATGCTCGGTGGAGATACTTGTTTCTATTGCCATGTTTACCATGTGCCACATGCTATTGTTGATGGTTGTGTTGGGAGAGTCATGATGTCCCATTGCTATTTACATATGGCCTCTCGCCAATACATTAATGATTTTTTGCTCATATCTTGCTTTCATGCTTGTGATATGTCATGTGCATTATTCATGACCACTATTTGCACACGTGCCATGATTACCATGATTCCTCCTAGTACGTTGCATCTTCGCACTACTAGCTTGCTTGACTTGATCACTATGATTGCTTGCTTTGTCGCATCACCGATGTTCCATTCTTACTCGCTTTCTTGGGTTGATGACATATATGTTCATGCCTCTCACTTGATTTATCTTGCTTATTATCACTTGTCTCCATTAGTTGCACATCTCATATGCCATTGTAGTGAGTGCACCCATGCTATGCTTATTGATCTTGGAGACTTGGACATATTACTTGTGATACATGCTTGCTTGATTAAGCCTATTGTCTTTGGTTGTAGTTGCATCATATGCTTTCATACCATACCACACCTTGTCCTTTCTTATGATAAGAATGATGAAAACACTTGTTGGGTATCTCACCACTTGAATGATAGGTTTTGCATTTATGCTAACCTCGTTTGTTTTTCCGAGTGTTTGTCATGTTCTTTCATTTTGAGGGATTCACAAGGCGGTGCCGTCATGCGACAACTTGGTCATACAAAGGTCTACGTGATGCGCGACACCAACATTTTCGACATCCTCATAAAGGTGAACTCCTTCCCTTTGAGCCATCCTCAATTACGCATATTCGATGGGTCATTCTTTCATTGTTGTCTCCTTCTTCTTGTCTACATGATACATCTCGCGAACGGAGGACCGACATTGGAGATGGACCCAATGGACCTTCAAGTTGAGGATTGCTCAGACTTAGTGGATTCACCACCGGACCACCACTTCTACCATGACATTGAGCTATGGTACAACACCACCCATAACAAATTTGCATCTTATGCATGGATTGACTCACATTACGATTGCCTTGTTGCATCTTCCATTTCTATGTCATCCATGATATATGAGCTTATGCACTTCCTAAGAAAATTTGTTGTGATCCTTCTTGATGGCGTATTCATACATCATGAAAATATTGTCCATCGTCAATTGCATGATCACATAGTCACATTGAGCACCAATTACCATGTTCATTCTTTTGGTACATCGTTCCATTATGACATCATTTTGCACAATGGTTGCATTGATCATATTCACAACACCCTTGTGTGCACAATGAATGCTTTTGCTCCCATGAATGCTTTGCATATCATTCTATATCATCTTACTAAGCTTCATGCACTTTGTCACAAACAATCTTGCCCAACGGACCCATACTTACTTGATGGGCACATTGTGTGCGCTAACCATTGTATTTCCAAGTGTCGTTTGCGTTTGCTCTTTTTGCATGTGTACCACTCCGGAGATACCTTGGAGTACTTGGATGGCGCCATGTCTTCCACTTCGTGAAGTCCGTCCATGACAACCATTTCCATGGTGATGAGGTTTTCGATCCGAGGTCGGATCTTTCCCAAGGGAGGGGAGATGATGTGGAGCATCCTTCGATCATCCCCATGTACACTATGACTATTCCCCAAGCCCCAAGTGGACATACGTTGAGACCTCAAACATGTACCATTGGACATCAGGTGAACTCTCTCCTTGTTAAACTTCCCTTGGACCCACATGAGACATGGCTACTACCTCAAACAAAGACACTTTGTGTGCTTACGTACCAAGGAACCAACAATGAGAAGGAATGGTGCAAGATGGACACCAAGAGCATGGAGACGGATTTTCCCAGCACAAAAGATAGAGGTACAACCGCCCATGTACCGCCCAACTATCGGTCGACCGGTACAACCGCCCATGTACCGCCCAACTACCGGTCCACCGATACAACCGCTCGACTACCACCCAACTACCGGTTCAACTTCTGTATTCGAGCGGTGCAAGGCCGGTACCGCCCCGGTTTGTACCCGTAACAGCCATATGACCGGTACAACTGCTCCAACCCCCGGTACAACCGCTAGTGACTTCCGGGAACACCTCCAGAGACCAGTACAAGAGCTTCGGGCGGTACAACCGCCCCCGTGTCTGGTACAACCGCCCTGCCTATGCGCAGAGAAAGGGGTTTCGCCCCATGTATCCCCCACTTACCCCTTGGACTATATATACTTGTCCCCTAGCTCCGTATTAGGGTTAGCATTGTGATAGCTCATATTTGAGATAGAGCTTTGCTCATCCACTTGGTTACTTCTCCATCGGAGTCGAGCGCCTCTTCGGAGAAGATCCCCCAAGCGGATTCAAGACCCCATCGCGGGAAGACCCTTCAAGACCTCCTCACGGAGAAGACCTTTTGTATCATTCTTTGTTGACCTTGAATCGTGTATCTCTTTGTGTTTCGAGGATCTAGCACATGTGTAATCGAATCTTGTTGGTTTGAGTGATTCTCTCATGTTTCCCCTCGTGATTTTTCCTCGTGTTCTTCGTAGGATTCCCTCCCATCGTGAAAGATCGGGCCGCTAGGGTTCTACCCTACATCACCATCCTTGGCGTCACCTCCAACTTCCCTGCGACGATGAAACTAGCGAATTCTTCTGCACGTCAACGATATGGACCATTAGCGACGACAAGACTTGCCGCTTCTAGTGTGATCACTGGTTGCGCGGCCAGTCCATCTCTGAGTTCGCCCCTCACCTGATCAACCTCATTATGTGTCCTCGCACGCTCGATTGTGACGGGCTTGCGAATCGAAGATGGATCGGCGACATCCATGGTACTCTCGGTCACAAGACTACAATCGAGTATTTGGACCTCTGGCAGCGCATTCGCCATGTCGTGCTCACTTCTGCTCCTCACAAAATCGTTTGGAAGTGGTCACAAAACGACCAGTACTCCCCCCGATCGTGCTACAAGACACTCTTTCATGGTTCGACCATGATGTTGGCCTGGCGTCTGGTATGGTGTTCTTGGTCGCTCTTCAACAACAAATTCTTCCTATGGATCGCGTTCCTCAACCGCTGCTGAACTGTTGACCACTTCACACGTCATGGCCTCCCGCATGACCCAGCCTGTGTCATGTGCTCCCAGGAGTTCGAGCCCATTTACTATCTGAGTTGCGGGTGTGTGTTCTCACGGATCACTTGGCACAGTTCTATCTTGCTGTCATCTCCCTTTAGCACCTCCGAACGACATGACGAGTTTCTTCGAATGGTGGTCTGTAACTACTTCATCTCCTCCTGCCAGCATACGCAAAGGCATCAATTCCATCATCGGCCTAACTATGTGCCTCATTTGGAAGCACCGCAATGCTGCAGTCTTCGACGGCTACGTCCATCGACCGAAGACCTCGTCAACAGGATCAAGGGTGAAGCACCGGTTTGGGTTAGAGTGGGCGCTAAGGGCCTGGATATACCATCTTTCATGTAACCTGAGATCATGTTGTATCGATGCTGACAACCTCCCTCTTCTACTCCTGTTTGCACCCTCTTTGACGCCGGTTTGTGTACGTCCTAGAGGGTTGCACCATGTACTTTTTTTCCATGGACGAAATGAAATGATACGCTCCAAAAAACTTCCATACTGTATGATATGATTAATAAGCAGTAAAATCGAAAAAACAAAACAAGATGTACATATACTTGCGTGTTCATTTAACGGCTCAGCACACACGCCCTGTCCTGTGCGCACACCTCCCCGCCGGCTCACGCGCCGGAGTGTCCCGCATCCGCCGCTGCCGCCGCTCGCCCTCCTCCTCCTCCTCCTCCTCTACCTAGTTGACGTCCGGCTTGCGCCTCCGCAGCTCCTCCTCTTCATCACGCTGATGTCCAGCATCCACCTCCGCCACTGCTCCACTATGCCCATGCCCCGCGTCTGCCTCCGCCGCCGCCTCTCCTCCTCCTTCTCCTCCTCCTTCTCCAACTGCACCTCGCCGCCCTCACCACCCTGGTCTCCCCACGCAGCCTTTGCCGCGGCCACAGAGCGCGTACGAGCCGGGACGCTCAGCCCGCAAGACGCACACCACCTGTTCGACGTATTGTTTCAGCAGGCCACTCGGGTCCCCGAGCGCTCCCTTGATGGATTCCTTGCCGCCCTCGGCGGTGCTGCGTCCTCTGAAGCCTGCAGAGACGGCCCCGCCCTCGCCCTCGCCCTTTTCAACCGTATCTTCCGAGAAGAAGCCGGCATGCGGGTGGCGCCGCCCACCATCTTCACTTATGGCATCCTCATGAACTGCTGCTGCCGCGTACGTCGTCCGGACCTAGGGCTTGCCTTCTTTGGGCGCATCCTTAGGGCGGGCCTGAAGACAAACCAGATCGCGGCCAACACGGTCATCAAGTGCCTCTGCTGCGCAAAACATACTGACGAGGCTGTCAATATGCTGCTTCATAGGATGTCCGACCTAGGCTGTGTGCCTGATGACTTCTCATACAACACAGTTCTGAAGAGCTTGTGTGAAGACGGCAGGAGCTTGCAGGCGCTTGACCTACTGCTCCAGATGGTGTCCAAGGAAGGAGGTGCCTGCTCCCCTGACACGGTGGCATATAGCACGGTCATCCACGGCTTCTTGAAGGAAGGCAAAGTAGACAAGGCATGCAATCTATTCAATGAAATGATGCGGCAAGGGGTTGTGCCTGATGTGGTGACCTATGTTTTTAAGGCGGTAAGGCGAGGCGAGGCGCTGGGGGGGCGCCTCACTGCCTAAGCGCTGAGGCATAAGGCGAGGCGACGCCTTAGAGACTTATAAGCAACAGAATTAAGTAGAATTTGGTAGGCATTAAGCAACTAGGCATACAGCCATACACACCTTGCAACTGATTGTTGTAGAGCCCCCATCCTCTTTGCACTTGCTTTTCTCCCCAACAACATTCTGCATCAACATGACGTCATGAACAAATATGTTAGAATAATGTATCACTTACCAGTGCACATTCCACAAAAAATAGAAATAAAAGTGAGGCAGCAAACAAAAGTGGAAAGAAAGATAGCAAGTATGAGTGCAACTGCAATCTGCAATGGTCCACATAAGACAAACAGAATAATAGATAATTCCACATAAGACAAACAGAATAATAGATAATTCCAGCATAGCAAAAGGGATAAAGGTGGCCAGCTCAGCTCTCTCATGTCTCTCCACTCTCAAAGTCTCAATCAAAAGTCATCATCATCAAACTCATTGGCATTGGTGTTGTCTTCACCATCTTGGTCAACATTAGTTGGCTCTTGATCGTCATTGCTCACATCATCATCATCCTCAACGTAGTCTGAATCCTCCCCCTCCGCATTGGGCATACTTGAGTGTTGCTCTTGCTCCAAGTCCTCCTCTACCTCATCTTCTTCAGGAATTATAGGTCGTGTTGTAGTAGGTCTCTTGCGTGCGTAGTGCAGACGGACATTTGTCTGGCCCCTACGAAGTGTAGTTGCTGTCCTATGCAGATTGCGGCCTCGAAGGTTTGAAGATGCACCAATAGCCACATCAACATCCTCCCATGTAATGTCTTGATTGTCTTCAGGACAACCTCGAGCACCTTGAGGTTGTGATAGTGATGGGTCCACCCACTCATTGCCCCAATCAAAATCCTCAATGACCAAAGCCTCAAAGCTATTCTCGCCCATCTTCTCACGCCTCTTTTGAAACCGTTGCATATTCTTCCGGTTGTATGAAACAAAGACAAGATCATTCAACCTTTTCCATTGTAATCTGTTCCTTTTCTTTGTATGGATCTACAAAGTAGAAACAACAAGTGAAATAAGTAAATAACTTGCTGAAATCATCATTGAACAAACACAAATACTGCTTTACTAGTTGACTTACAAATTCAAACGTGCTCCAATTCCTCTCACAACCAGATGATGAAGCACAAAGACTAACAATGCGCTTTGCAAACCTTTGTAGGTCAATGGCCTGACCACCAAATGAACTCCACCAATCAACTAAAATGATAAAAACTGACACATATTAAGAGTTTGTACAGAAATTACATTGCTGGAACTGGAATTAACATGCTGAAATTAACATGATGCATTTAATATGACTTACGAGGGTTTCTTGTGCTCATGGTCTCGAGTGCCAATGGATTAGAAAAGCTTTCTCGCTGTTGCTCATAGAGCACAGATTGTTGATCAATCTTTTTTCGAACATTGGCATCCGGTACCATTTTTGCAAGCACATCATTAAAGCAGCTCCTAAGCTCCCCAACTAAGGCATCATCATTTCTGCTTACAATAGGAAAGAACTTTCCTGGGTTCAAAAATAGAGCAGCCCCATACAATGGATGATCCATTTGATTCTCCCAACGCTTATCAACAATGGCCAAGATCTTCTTGAGCAATGGTTGCTTGTTTTGTTGAGGGAAACCTAGATTGATCCTCTCCTTTGCATAAATCATAAGTGCTTTAATCTCTGGCATGGCAGGCTTCTCATCACCATCTGCTACTCTAAGAACTCTAAGAAGTGGAGTTGAAGCTCTAAGGCAGTCCTCAATTGCGCTCCACCACTCCGTTGAAAGTATAATCTCTTGCACATTCAAGCCAACTTGTGTTTTTGCTAACTTGTTTCCAACCCATTCTTCAGATGTAAATAAACTCCTCAATGCAGCCTTGTTCTTGACCAAACTCCTAAGTGTGAGGATGGCTGTGGCAAAACGAGTGGCTGCTGGTCTCACAAGATCCCCACCCGTGGCCTTCCTCATTAGACTAAGAAGTCTTCCATGTCTATAGATGAAAGTTGTGACACGTCTAGCCCCTGCAATAGGCTTCTTAAATGCCTTCAACTTTCCTATATCTTCCAACATTAGGTCCAAGCAATGACATGCACACGGGCTCCAATATAGAGTAGGCATCCTCTCCATTAGAAGGTGGCCAGATTTCTTGTAATTAGCACCATTATCGGTGATAACTTGTACCACATTCTCTTTTCCAACATCCAGAATTCTCTTCTCAAGCAAATCAGCTATCATATCACCATCATGACATACACTTGAGGCATCAACCGACTCCAAGAAGAAAGTGCCCTCTGGACTATTAACAAGGAAGTTAATCAAATGGCGTCCTCTTTTATCCGACCAGCCATCCGACATGAGTGTGCATCCATATTTTTTCCATGCTGCCTCGTGTTGCCTCCTCAAAAGTCCTGTTTCCTTCACACAATCATTAAGCAATTTCTCTCTCAGCTCATGTGCACTAGGAGGCTTGTAACCTGACCCATATTGACAAGAGGCTTCAATTGCAACCTCAAACTTCCTACTACTTGCAGCGTTGAATGGAATGCCACACTCGTAAAAGAACAATGCCCACTGCATATTGACATACTGCCTCTCTTCTGGAGTCTTTGTGCTGGACTCCATGGTGCTTTGAGAACACCCAGAGCGTCTTTCATCTACAAGATCCTCGGGTGTTCTTCGTAGCATGGCAACAATTGGCTTGGAACTATTGGCGGCAGACACAACAGAAACAGACTTCTTTTTACCTTGCATGTTGGTGATAAACGCTTTTTTATTCTGTTTGGCTGCTGTCCCTGAGCTTGGCCTTTTAGAGGCGATGTTTGCTCCAACTGAACTCACCTCCACAACCTCCTGAACATCATCTACATCTACTACTCCCTTGATCCTCCTATTTTGCTCCAAATATGTTCCCATTTCTCTCCTCAATTGTGTGGTGGCCTTAGGACAACCAATTGCATCTCCCCCGACGCCCGCAAGATGCTCTTTATGCCTCTTGATCCCTCCAGAAGTTATCTGGCCACAAAGAGCGCACACAACAAGATCCCGATTTGGAGGCTCAGACCAATATCCATAGTTCCATCCCGGATCATTTGACCGTTGTGGCTTCCTTGTTGGATCTTTCATTGGATCGTAGGTGGGCTCACCCCCATCAGCTGCTGCATTTCCATCCATGGTGCTACACTTCTACTACCTGCAGCAAACAACCAAACACAAAGGAATATTAGCATAACTGATAAAAGGGCTGCCATGGCATATGAAAAGGTTGTTGTGGCAGCAACTAAACTACTCTACTCATGCAGATGTAGCAAACAGCGACAATCAACTAGCCATTAAACTAATCAGCATTCAACTAGTCATTAAACTAATCCATTGTTGAGCACAACACATCATGCATCAGTATTCAACTAGCCTTTATTCTAATCCACCCAACAGGCCAACAGCATGCATTATTTTATTCAACCAAGGAGCATCCACTAAGGCACTAACCCCACTATCATTAAACTGATCACTAACATATGCCTGGCCACTAAGGCACTAACCACTATAAGAGACAAGTGAGCAACCACCAACCAGCTAGCACAAAACAGTCCAGCAAAGAAGAAAGAGAGCAGAGGAGGGTGTGGGAGAAGGGAGAGGGAGGTATACCTTACTGTTGCTCTTGCTTGTTGTTGTTGTACTGCAGAGGAGGAGCTGCTGGACAGGAGGATGAGGAGGAGCTGCTAGACAGGAGGAAGAGGAGGAGCTGCTGGAGAGGAGGAACCGTTGGAGAGGAGGGGGAGGAGCTGCTGGAGAGGAGGAGGAACCAGATTTGCTGGAGAGGAGCCACTGAAGAGAAGGAGGGGGAGGAGTGTGTGGATTGGGGGCTGTTTCTCTCTCTCTCTTTCTCCCCTCTTACCTGTTGGCGCCAACATGATTCCAGTTTCCCGCCAAAACTCTGTTTCCCGCCTAAAACAGCTCCCCTGCCTGCCTGGCAAGCTAAGGCGTCCAAAATGGACTAAGGCAACGCCTCGGACGCCTAGGCAGACGCCTCGGACGCCTTATAGCTTAAGGCGGACGCCTTAGACACCCACCTAAGGCGAGGTGGACGCCTTGCCCTCGCAGGGCGCCCTGACGCCTAAGCGTCGCCTAGGCGACGCCTTAGGGACGCCTTGAAAACAGAGGTGGTGACGTATAGCTCGATTATCGATGCATTGTGCAAAGCCGGAGCAATGCACAAGGCAGAGTTGTTCCTTCGGCAGATGGTTCATAACGGTGTTCGACCGGATGAGGTGACATATACTAGCATGATCCATGGATATTCCACTTTGGGCCGGCTGAAAGAGGTGCGTAAAATTTTCAGAGAAATGACAAGCCGTGGTCTTATACCAGATATTGTCACTTGGAACTCGTTCATGGACTCCCTTTGCAAGCATGGAAGAACCAAAGAAGCTGCAAAGGTTTTCTTTTCCATGGCTGCAAAGGGCAACAAGCCTAATATTGTCTCCTACACTATTCTTCTTCATGGGTATGCCAATGAAGGAAGCTTTGCTGATATGATGAGTCTCTTCAATTCAATGAAAGGCGGTGGCATTGTAGCCAACTGCAAAGTTTTCAACATATTAATTGGTGCATATGCTAAACGAGGGCTGATAGATGAAGCTATGCTCATACTTACTGAAATGCGGGGACAAGGACTGAGTCCGGATGTAGTCACCTATTCAACTCTAATATCTGCACTTTGGAGAATGGGTAAGCTGACTGATGCTATGGATAGGTTCAGTCAGATGGTTGTTGGTACGGGAGTACAGCCGGACACAGTTGTTTATCACTCCCTAGTTCAGTTCTTATGTACACATGGTGATTTGGTGAAAGCGAAGGAGTTGATTTCTGAAATGATGAATAAAGGTATTGCTCGTCCAAACACTGCACTCTTCAGTTCAATAATGGACAGTCTACGCAATGAAGGAAGGGTTATAGATGCACACCATATCTTTGACTTGGTTATAGACATAGGTGAGAAACCTGATAGCAGTATGTTTAGTACGCTGATTGACGGATATTGCTTAGTCGGTGAGATGGACAAAGCATGTGGAGTACTTGATGCCATGGTATCAGCTGGCATTGAGCCTAATGTCATTACGTATAGCACACTTGTCAGTAGATATTGTAAACGTGGAAGGATCGCTAATGGGTTGATTCTGTTCAGACAAATGTTGCATAAGAAAGTTAAACCTACAACTGTTACATATGAAACCATACTGAATGGATTATTTCGTGCTGGGAGAACTGCTGATGCGAAGAAAATCTTCGATGAGATGATCGAAAGTGGAATAATGGTGAGCATTTCTACATATAATATAATTCTTGGAGGACTTTGTAGAAATAATTGCGCAGATGAAGCGATTGTCCTATTCCAGAACGTGCAATGAATATGAAGTTCAATATCACAACACTCAATACCATCATTAATGCATTGTACAAGGTTGAAAGAAGAGAAGAAGCTAATGATTTGTTTGCTGCATTACCAGCCAGCGGGTTGGTGCCTAATGCTTCCACTTACGGAGTAATGGTACAAAATCTTCTAAAAGAAGGAGCAGTGGAGGAAGCTGACAGTATGTTCTCATCAATGGAGAAGAGTGGCTGTGCTCCTAGCTCTCGTCTTATAAATGATGTCATCAGAACTTTATTGGAAAAGGGGGAGATAGTCAAGGCCGGAAAATATATGTCTAAAGTTGATGGGAAGAGCATCTCACTTGAAGCTTCAACTAGTTCGTTGTTGTTGTCTCTCTTTTCAGGGAATGGGAAATATCGGAAACAACTACAATTGCTCCCTGCAAAGTACCAATTTTTTAAAGGAATCAGTTGATGCGCTGGACTTGGCAGATAAGCCTTGTCATGGTTCAGATCTCCCTCTCAACGATGTAGACAAGTCTCTTCTGTGTGCTTGCCAATATTGAGCTGGGTGACGGTGCCACCGTGGTGTTCTTGTCGGTGCTTAGCTGTTGGGTGTGCATCCTATGGCCATTGTTCCTGATCTGCAGGCCACCTCCACAATGGCGGTCTGGTGCATGACGCATTTGCTAATGGTGAAAAGATTACTAATATTTGGGAGCATATGCACATCACGGCGGATTTCATCCCTGAGTTAATCGAGCTGAATTAACAGTGTTTGCAGTTTTGGACATGTATGACCATTGACAGCTCAATGCTGTCTCTTTCTAAACTACAGTAACAAATTACCACAGGACCTCAAAGCTATCTTATAAAAAATTAAAATTATCATTTTATCAGTTGATTTTCTATTGTTAAACAATATGTGTGTGACTTATTCGAACATGGCATGAATGCCTAATCTTGGGTTCAGTTCCTTTTGTTTTTTAAGCTTGAATTACTAAATATCTCAATCCGAAAGTTCATGGGTGCAACGCATTGGAATTTGTTCTATCATACTAAAACATCTGTTTGCAAGTGCTTCATGTTACTTTGCATTTCCAGGGATGTATCTCACCACAATCTTTCAGGGTCAGTACCTGATTTTCTGAGTCCAATACCATCACGTACATCTATGTATGTGACAATCCTGACCTGACTTCGTTTTTCCAAACTGTGCAGCACGGAACCTTTAAATCCTTTTAATTTCTTCATCTGTCAAGTTGATTCGTCAAGAAAACATCAGTTGATGAATCAGGACTGGTTGCTGAAACTAAGGTTTGCACCCTTTTTTACAACATCATGGATGCTTTGATGGAGGCAATGGATAGCATTAAATGACTAGTTTTGGGGGGAATTTGTCGTATTCGTACGGTGTGCCAACCGACATAGGTTGCACCTGATTATATCTTTAAGGTCTTACTAAATTGTATCATGCAATCTCAATTTTTGTTTAGGAATAATTGCCAAATTCGGTCCTGCTTACCTACTGCAAGATTTTTATGTTTGCTGACTTAACATGTTTTTAGCTTATATGTGATAATTGTACCTGGCCATCTCTTTATGAACAGATCCATCTCTTTATTACCAGATTATTCAGAAACAATGGGAGTACATCTTAAATCATAAGAATAAGACATTGCAAAAATACAAGGTAGCGGCTTCATGAAATTTCATATTTGCTCCCGAGCTCAAATTCTGTTTCCATCATTCATTCGTTGCATTTGACAAAGTGATTGCCCATTCCGGAGCCCAGGCTGCATTCACGCACCATTGAGCGCACTTTAGAAGACAATCAAACAAGTACAGTGCGTTTTTCTGAGAGTATCTGTTATGACCGGTTTGGTCTATAATCGGAAGAGGCCCACCGGGCATTAGTATTAGGGGCTTGACCCACAAGTTATCTTAGGCAAGTTATTTTAGGCAAGTTATCTTAGGCTAAAGTTATAAATACTAGTTGTAAGACATCGTTTGAGATCAAGCAATAAAGATATTATCATCTTCGGTTGCCCGGCTCCCTGAGGAGCCGGAACCCTAGCCGCCACCAGCCAACCGCCGCCGCACCTAAACCCTAGCCGCAACGGCGCCCACTCGCCGGCGCGCCCGCTCCAGCCCTCGTCCACCTCCTCCTTGTCCCTATAACCTGTGTAGCCGCACTGGTAGGAACCCTAGTCCTACCAATTTGGTATCAGGTACCCGGGTTTCGACCATGTCTTCGCCACCTCCAATTCCGCCACCGCCGCCACCACCGCCGCTGCCCGTCAACTCCACCACCGCCGCTGCCGCCAACTCCTCCACCCCCGCCGCTTCCGCGCCGGGCGTCATGGCCTCTCTCTCGGCGGGCGCCACGGCGTCGCTCTCGGCGCCCGGCACCGCGCCGGGCCACGGGCGGCCACCGGCCCCCATCCAACATACGCCGCCGCCGTCACCTCCCCTGCAGCCGCAGCAGTTCACACAGGAGGCAATGGTCGGCATCCTCAACGACCTCGTCGCCGCGGTCCAGGGCATCCGCCTCTACCTGGCAGGTCCGTACGGGCCGCCTCCACCACTCCATCCAGCCATCGCCGCGACTCCGCAGGCGCTGTCGTGGTACTCGGTACCGGGGGCCATCACCGGAGACTACCCGACGCTCCCCATCCCGGCGGCTGCACCGCCGCCTTGGCCACAGTGGCCACCGCCGCTCGCGACGGCAACTGCGCCACTCGCCGCCACCACGGGGCCGCAGTGGCCCACCTGGACCGCGCCGTCTCTCACCGCGCCGTCCCTTCCAGCGGCCACAGAGCAGGGTCCTCCACCGCCCCATCCCAGCCCTAACCTGGGTCGGTCGTCGCCGAGCGGGCTTCCAATCCAGGAGGTCCGCTTTCCGTCATCGCCATCGCCAATCCCCAACTGGCTTCACGGGCCGCCATCGACCTACCCGAGGGCCCGCCCGCCGTCCGGTTTCCCATTGCAGCCCGAGGCGTCGGGCGCCACCAGGAACTACGCCGGGCCTTCCACCATGGACCGCGCACCATCATCCGCCCTACGCACCGCCGAGGCAGTGGGCCAGGGCGCGCCACACCAGCAGCCGCCCCGGTTCGCCAAGATCGATCTCGCCACATCCGACGACCCGCTTAACTGGCTCAACCAGTGTGACCAGTTCTTCTGCGGTCAGCGCACACCCGCGTCGGAGCGTACTTGGCTGGCTTCCTACCATCTCCGCGGGGCCGCCCAGACATGGTACTACGCCCTCGAGCAGGACGAGGGCGGCATGCCCCCGTGGGATCGTTTCTGATAGATGTGCCTTCTTCGTTTCGGGCCACCGGTCCGCGGGAGCTGCTTGGCCGAGTTGGGCCGCCTGCCATTCACCTCCACGGTGCAGGACTTCGCCGACCGCTTCCAGGCCCTGGCGTGCCACGCGCCCGGTGTGACGGCCTTACAGCGGGCGAAGCTTTTCATCGGCGGCCTTCTCGACCACATCCGCGTGGACGTCGAGATGAAGGGGCCCCAAGACCTTCAGACGGCCATGTACTATGCTCGGGCGTTCGAGCAGTGCGCCCAGGCCTTAACGCGTCCATCCGCGCCACGTGGGGGCCGACAGCTTCCCCGGCCGTCTCCGGCAGCACCGACGTCGTCCACAGTCGCCCCGGCACCCACCCCGGCACCGACGCGGCCATTCAGGCGCCTCACTCAGGCAGAACAGCTGGAACGTCGGCGCCTGGGCTTGTGCTTCAACTGTGATGCGCCCTATGCACCGGGCCATGTCTGTCCCCGCCTCTTCTACTTGGAGACGACAGACGAGACTGAGGAGGACACACTGGAGGATGGCCTCGGCGCTCCAGCCCTTGCGGAGCCCGCAGCAGCACCCGCGCCCGCCCCGGCCACCGCCCTCGTGGTGTCCCTACACGCGCTGGCCGGCATCCGTGATGAACGGACGATGCTCTTACCGGTCATGATCCAGGGCGAGCGCCTGGTGGCCCTAGTGGATACAGGGTCCACGCATAACTTCCTGCCGGAGACCACCATGCGGCGCCTTGCATTACAGCCAACCGGCGGTGAGCAGTTGCGAGTCACAGTCGCGAATGGCGACCGTCTACGCTGCCATGGGCTCGCCCGCGACGTGCCCATCACTATCGGCGACGAGCACTTAACCATCACCTACGCCGACATCGACTTGGGCTGCTTCGACTTCATCCTCGGCGTCGACTTCTTGCGCACTCTTGGTCCTATTCTATGGGATTTCGACGCGCTGACAATGACCTTTTGGCGGTTGGGCCGCCGCATTCGGTGGGACGGCATTGGGGGTGCCGCCCCAACCACTCCACTCTAGCTGGCCATGACCACCGCCACGGCCGAGCACCCACTATTGGAGAGCCTCCTCCAGCAGCACGCGGACATCTTCACCGAGCCACAGGGGCTGCCGCCCGCCCGCACGTACGATCACCGTATACATCTTCTGCCAGGCCCCGCGTCGGTGGCGGTACGGCCTTACCGCTACCCACAGTTGTAGAAGGATGAGTTGGAGCGGCAGTGTGCGCTCATGCTCGCGGCAGGCATCATCCGGCTCTCCACTTCGCCATTTACCGCGCCGGTGCTTCTCGTCCGGAAGTCAGACGACACATGGCGTTTCTGCATCGACTACCGTGCCCTTAATGCTGTTACACTTAAGGACAAGTTCCCTATTCCGGTGGTCGACGAGCTCCTCGATGAGCTCCACGGGGCGCAACTCCCGTTTACCGGAGGAACACTTTGTGTGCTACCAAACATCACAATGTAACTGGGTGATTATAAAGGTGCTCTACAGGTGTCTCCGAAGGTACTTGTTGAGTTGGCGTATTTCGAGATTAGGATTTGTCACTCCGATTGTCGGAGAGGTATCTCTGGGCCCTCTGCTTCTTCACCAAACTCGACCTCCGGTCGGGGTACCACTAGGTGCACATGCACCCGGATGACATCGCCAAGACGGCGTTTCGCACTCATCATGGCCACTTCGAGTTCTTTGTGATGCCCTTTGGCCTCA